TCGAGTAATGAAATGCGGTGTGTGTTTGTACAATTTGTTATGGTTGTCCGTATTAATCTTGTGTGTTTCCCTTGTAAACTGCCTGTTGTAAGGGGGGTGTCGCACATGGGTGACGTCACGGACGCGCCCACTTTGACCACAACAAAACCAAAGTGCGGACTTACAGACGACCTCTTGGTTTCCCCGAAATCACTCTTGCAACCATCCTTTTTGGTACGTGTCTCCTACACGGCCTAGGCCCGCCACCATCTCGGGCCTGTACATCCACGGGACAGCAATCACTCTCGCTGTCGGAGACGAGGACCTTCCATCGCCAGCCACTTTCGGGCTCCCTGGAACACCCCACCGCAACGCTATTCTGGACCGTGTTGTGTGTGAAACCCACGCCGGGATCCGATCTGCTGGCTTCCTCCTGCTCCCCGTTCGAACAAAGACCACGTGGACGAGAACATCGCCTCCATCCTATTCTTCATTCTCATCCTCCCATCTCCATTCTCCATCCTCCTCTTTTCATCAACATCTCCCTTGAACGGCTCAAAGTAAGACTGTTCTCTGTTGGAGTGTGATTCAAATGATGTGCATAACAATATTTGCTTAATGTGACCAGAAATCCCCTTCGTTATATTTTCTATCTTCATTTTTGTAGTCAATAAAACCCCTTTACTTTTACCTCAATCATTTAAGCGTCGTGTTGTTAAATCTTGGGTATCCCTGGCTGATATACGCATTCACTACCTTTTAGATTATAAGACTGACTCGAGGCAAAGTTAGTTTGGATCTGTGCAGAAGTAACTGCTGGTGCCATAAAAATTAAAGCAGATCCCCACTCGTGTAGTACGGCAGACTCTGATTTGGAGACTACCCGCACTACACTACATCTTACTATTCTTCTCTTACAATTTATAGCTTACTGTAGTATTATTACCCTACAATTACGACAGGCAAATAAGTAGTAAGTAAGTAAGTAATCATTTATATACCGCCTTTTCACTGCAGATCTGAGTCTAGAAGCGGTTTTACAATTGTTATTTTTTGGGCATTAGTCTCTCACTCCACACAGAGATGGGAGCTGGGTCGCCAGTACAGGAGGCGCATGCCAGAACTATTGTACATATTTTTAGCGGTAGGGGAAACCGGAGTAGCGCAGACACGGGAAGAACATGCAAACTCCACTCAGAAAGGCCCTGGTCCGACCGGGATTCGAACCCAGGACCTTCTTGCTGAGAGGCGAGAGTGCTATCCACTCAGCCACCGTGCCGCGTGCAAATGAGAACCATTGCGACTGAAGTTGTAGACCAGTTCACATGTTTTCGATGCGTTCAACTGGAGGTTGTTAGTTTTACTCCACTGAACCACATTTTGTATCTCTGCTCTATAAGAGGATTCATCATTGTTACTGATGAGACCGATGATGGTGGTGTCATCAGCATATTTGATGATCAAGTTTGAGTCAGAGGAGGACACACAATCGTGAGTGTACAAAGTAAAAAGCAAAGGACTCAAAATACATCCCTGAGGAGAACCAGTGCTCACAGAAACAACATCAGAAAAACAGTCATTGATTTTCACTCTCTGAGATCTGTCTGTTAAAAAGCTAAAAATCCATTTACACATCTCAACACTTAAACCGAGAGACATGAGCTTTTCAATCAGTTTACCTGGGACAAGGCAGTTAAAAGCAGAGCTATAATCGATGAAAAGCATTCTCGCGACAGATTTACTAGTGTCCAAGTGACTGTACACAGAGTTCAGAGCAAAGGAGATGGCATCCTCCACACTCCTGTTCTGTCTGTAAGCAAACTGGAGCGGGTCAACACTCACAGGGATCTGGCTCTTAATGAAGTCCAGCACAAGCCGCTCAAAAGAATCATCGATTGTACATCGAGCCCTCTGTCCTCGATGCACAATCAGACCCTGATTATTTAGTTTACAGAAGTATACAGCGAGTTGGCGTCACTGTACTCACAGATCGGGGCTCCATTTTATTGTGGGAATGACGCATGTTTCCAGATCAGCTTTTGAGTAAGTCCAGTTCCATTGTCCCTGTAGTACTGGAACAGTCTCAGTCAAGTGTCACAGATGAACCGTTATTATAATGGATCCATGAGAGGAACAAATGAATAAAGTCGAGCCGCTTTCTTCCTCTTCGGGCCAAATAGTGCGTGACATATTTACACCCAAAACACATTTTATCCAAGTTGACATGATCCTTACACTTTTAGTTGCTGACAAAAGCAGAAAAATAGTATCTCCATGTGGTGTCCGCTGAACCAAACCACATACACTGGACTCGGGAGCTGGCTGCGCGCTCTGATTCGCTGCTTTGATCCCGGCTTTTTTACTATTATTTTTATTATTTTTGACAACAAATAGCATACTTATTGTTTATTGCTTGCCCTGTTTGGACAAAATCATTCAAAAACCATCTTTGATTAAGCAAACCTTAATGATTTCAAATTTACATGACACATTAGAAAGACTAAATGTGTTTTTCTTAAAATACAGTGTGTATATATAATATGTATTTGTTTTTGTGTTCACAGCCGAACAGCAGCCTCAAAGCACAACTAGGAGAGGACAGCGCACAACCATATGACGTTGCTGTTGGTTTAAAGAGAAGCCAGATAAATACTTTCTACATCGCCTTGGACAATTTGAACAGTTTAAAGCCCACTTCGTCTTCAACACATCGTACGATCATACAACGCTGCAGTTCTACAGTTTCATCCAAACAGCTATCTACAACATTGACGTCAAATCACATTGACATTGTTCCTGAAGGAAATGGTCATTGGACTCTACTCCTGCTTTTACTACTCAGCCACTACAGTTCACAGAGTTGAAGTTATTGGATCATCCTCTACCCATGTGTGGGCAGATCCTTGCTTTGTATATAGTTGTATTTGTTTTAATAAAGCTCTTTCTTTGCATAAACTTGTTCCTGGCAAATGTTCATTCCCTCTATAAATTAATTCATTTCCTTGATGGTAGCCTAATTATAGTGTAGTAGCCTACATAGGATAAAATGAACATACAACATAATATGAATAAATACATTTATTTATTATATTAATTATGAGGCAGGGTGACCAATAGTGACAGATCTGCCAACCAATCACAAGTGGTCTTACTTATTTGAAAGTCGTGATTTCAACCAATAAGGAGTAAGGACACTCAAGCATGGCCTGGTCAGTGTTGTTTTGCTGCCAATCACGAGTGATTTTTCTTGTTTGAAAGCGGTGGTAGCAGTACCAATACTGACCGAAGGATTCTCAAGCAGCCTGGCCAGCCGCTGCATTCATGTGCTAATTAAGGCCATTAGCACGCGCGGCCGGCCTCGCAGTTTCGCTGCATTCATATGCCAAGTAGGGCCATTAGCATGGTATGTTTCCGACAATTTGTGGCACAGGAAAACTCTACCAACGCGGGTTGTAAATTTTCGTAAATTGCTGAAAATGAGGGAGATTTCCGGGCGTTTACGGGGACGGAAATCTCACTTTTCATGCAGTGCAGCGCACTCACACCACAACACAGTCACACCAGGGACGTGCGGTGAGGTTTGTGATTGGGGAGGCACTGACTTTAAAAGTTAGATTTACAATCATTATTCAAATAAAATAGCATTTAATCACCAATGCAATGACATCCACAAACTTTATATACTGTAAAGATAAGAGAACCAGCTTCTTTTAATAATCTCACAACAAATCTAGCTGCTGACTCTGCTCCGCATCAAACAACATCTTTAAGAAGCGCAGGTGCGAGAGACGCGAGGAGAGAGAGACGCGAGGAGAGAGGAGCAGAGAGAGACAGAGAGGAGCAGAGAGACGGAGACGCGAGGAGCAGAGAGAGACGGAGACGCGAGGAGAGAGAGACGCGAGGAGAGAGAGACGCGAGGAACATAAACAATAATTTAAACAAGTTGCAGAACTCTTGAGCAGTGTTTGAATCAGTGTTTTTCGGAAAAGCACTACTTTGCCGGTATCTGTCAATGTTCAACATAAAACACAGATTAACAAACTCCTCCCCCGCAGCCGGACTAACCTCGTAAGTCCAGTGGTGGTCTCCCAGTCTATATTAATTCTTTCTTTGTTTGAAAGTCCAATTGAGAAAAAAAATCTTCATTCAAATCATCCATTTTCCAGCAAAAGAAATAGCATTTTGGGCTGATTGTTTGTTAGCAACTCTGGTATGAACTTTATGCTCACTATCACCCCTAGCGGTGAGGCACAGATACCGCCTGCCTCACGCCAAGCTTTTTCCTTGTGTGTTCATCTACGATCAAAAGACTTAAACTAAATATAAATTGTACACACATACGTGCAATACACTACTAAACACTAAGAGGAGTTTAAAAATGTTTTTAAAGCAGGATATTTGAAACAAACGGTGATATATCAACTGCACGAGCTGAGTGCACTCAGACACACACACACACACTGTGAGGGAGCGGTCTGGGGTGAGGCACGCAGGAGCGCTGCCTCACCTCGTCTCTTTGAATAGGAATAACGGGATTTCGGCGATTTTGACTTCAGAAATGATCAAAACTGATGGGAACCGTGCCGAATATACATTAAAAGCATAGGACAGTGGATATAAATTATATATTTAAACTAAAATAATTATTAGTTTCCAATAATGGCAGGTGAGGCTCTGCCTCCCCTGCCTCCCCTGACTGCACGTCCCTGAGTCACACCACACTCACACAGCACTCATACCACCCTCACACCACACCACAACATAGTCACAACGCAGTCATACCACAACACAGTCACGCCAGTCATGCCGCACTCACACCACATCACAATCACACAACACTCCCACACCAACACAGTCACACCATAACACAGTCATATGTACTCACAACACACTCACACCACTCTAAGCTTGGCTCTAATCTTGCTCTAAACATGTGCTGCACATGCCCCATAGGTGCTGGTGCTTGTTTGAACTTGGTTTGAACTCCTCCTATGTCTGATGGTTTAGGCCTGATTGTAAAGTTACCTCTTGTACAGACTGACGGTGATCTTGTGGAAGCCCCTCAGTGCGGCGGGCGGCTCGGGCCACTCCACACTGCGTCCGTAGTCAGGCCAACTCCTGACGTTAGCGAAGCGCCGCTCTACCTCCCAGAAGTGTGCCTTCACTTTGTAGCATTTGTATGAGCGCATGATGCAGTACACAGCTCTCATTCGCCTACAGAGAAGACGTGCCAGAGCGCCACGCCACACCTGCACAAAAAACAAACTATTACTAAGCATTACAAGATGCTCATCAAACTGTGTGTACACACCAGTGTGGTGCGGTGGTACCCTGTGTGCTATGATGGGTGTGTATTTGATGCGTGTGCACTGTGATGCGTGTTTGCTAAGATGAATGCACTGCGTACTTTCTGCAGAAAAAGCACCAGGATGGGTATGAGGTGACTCCTCTCCTTCTCTAGGCTGAATAGGGATTGTGGAGAGCGCACAAACAGTTTGGTGTGACCAAACTCCACGTCCTGTTCGAAGCCATGCTGCGTGACGATGGCCTTCACCGCTTCCTGGTCACTGCCCATCAGGTGGTTCGGCCACGTGTACTCACAGGTCATCTTATACCTGCAGAGACACGCATCAACAGCGCACAGACACAGTCATATCTTCACACTTAAAGAGACATTCTGCAAAATCATAAAGTTCCAACATGGCTCCTCATCAAAAAACAGCCCTGCTGTTGATTTTAGCTCCATCCATCCATTTTCTACCTCTTAATCCATTTCTGGGTTGGGGGGGTGGCCAGAGATGCCACCCAGTACACATAGCACCAGCCCCTCACTGATCCTCCTGCAGGTGGTGAGTCCACAGGCATAGCCTTGGTCTTTCAGTGGGGGCATCAGGAAAAGTGAGGTTAAGTGTCTTGATTTTAGCTCCATCCTCACTAATATCAGGCACAAACACCTTCTGTCTAAAAGCTCCTGTTTCAAACTTTTACACTAAAAGCTTTTTCCCACTGTGCAAAGAATTTTGCCCCAAACCCCAGTTGCCTCTTCCTTCCACACCGAGCGACACAGGCTGGTGTGTCAGAACTACTTGGCCTCAACTACTAGTCTTTTTGCCAAGGTGTGTTCTGTGTGAAAATGCCAATAATTTAGACCAAAAAAAAAAGATTTCTTGCTCATTGCTTACATGTGGCTCAGGTGAAGAATGTTCTAAAACGATCTCTTCACCAGATACACAGCGTAGAATGAGGTTTGTGAAAACCAGAAGGAAATGTCTCATGGATGCCATTATGAGACGGGAATTATAACAAAGACCACCTTCTCTAGGATCTTGTACAAGAAGGAAAGTTTGCAAATAGGTCTAAAGTAAAGAAACACGCAAATTTCGAATAAATCACAATTATGATGCGTTCTGTTTCTTCGTGTTTAAATCTGACTTGTATTTTTTTTTTTTTATCTAAATCTTCTTTAAATGTGAAGCACTCTGTGAAAGGCGCTATACATATAAACTTTACTTGCTTACTTACTTAACAGGGATGTGTGGCCGATCTATTGCTCCATAAATCTGTGGTAGGCCCTGGGCTGCGTAATTATGCATTCCCGCAGTAATTTCAAGCACTCACAGAGTGCGGACATTTGGTGGGCACATTCTAAACATGTTTATCTTTCTCTGTGGTAAGTTTTGTCTGTTTATGTTAAGATTTCTGTTGTTAGCTTTGGATTTGAAAATAGTTCTTGAACAACTTTAGAGTGGCGACATAGTCTGCATGAACCCGGAATGTATAACAATGTTACCCTAAACTGCACACCTTTCATTTTGATGTAAAATACTGTCATGTTATTTTCCAGAGGTAAAATGAAGTCTGAGGTGAAATGGTGAAACAAAACGAATCATCGGCAATAGTAATCTCGGAGCTCTTATTTCCCTAACTAGCTCTATGAGCTGAGCCAATTAAACTATCCCTTCAGGCCTGAAAATGTAATGAGAGGAGAGGTGCATAGATCGATACATGGATAGCAGAAAATGTGTATCGACATGTTCTGCATTTCTGAAATGTGCAACAGTACAAACTATTATTCAGCACGACATTGACTGAAAGGTTGGTAGTAAACACATGCTCCTGCTCGTGATTAAAACACATCAATAACATGTATCTTGTATTACTTTGAGTGCAAGGTTAAGTGAAGCAATATTACCAATGTTGCATATATTTGTTATCATATGTATAAAATTAACTTTGTTGAATTAATAGAAGTAGAGGTTATGTAGATTGCCTTGTTACAAAGACACAAAGAGGTGGATATTAATCACAACTAATGTTGGAGAAAAGGGTAAATACTATGAACATGTATCACACAAACCATAGAAAACTACAGACTGCACAACGAGTTAGGTATGTTTGAGATAAGACACAAAGTGACTGTTCGGGGGGGGCGACGTGTTGTTGATAGTTTCCTCACTAGGCCTTCGCATGTCAGCATTTACAATCGCTGGGACGCTCTGACCGGCTGCGACCTCTCGCGGCCGGGCGGGGAGGAAGGCCCCACTGAGAGAGCCGCTGTGGGAGCCGATGGAGTTGCTGATGCGCTGGTTATTGGCTCCTCTATTGTTAGAGGCGTTAAGATCCCAGGAGCCACTGTTCGGTGCTTCCCTGGGGCCAGGCTTGGTGATATTAAAGGAAATCTGAGGCTCCTGATGACTCACAAGCAGCGTTTTCGCCGAATTGTTATTCACGCGGGTGGCAATGACGTTTGGCGGAAACAGTCCGAGGTGTTGAAGCTGCTGGTCGCCGCCGTGTGCAAGCTGGCTTGCACAATGGCCAACACTGTCATCTTCTCGGGCCCCTACATAGCACTGGCAGTGCCGAGGCATTCAGCAGACACTCGGCTTTCAACCACTGGCTGTCTGGCTGGTGCCTCGACGTGGTGTTGTCTATGTTGACAATTGGACTGCCTATTGGGGAAACCCCGGTCTCATCCGTTCGGATGATATCCGCCCAACGTTGGCGCTGCATTTGATACAATAGACCACAGGATTCTTCTGCGGAGGCAAGAATGTGACATAGGTCTCAGAGGAACAGCCCATGGCTGGTTTATATCCTATTTATTGGATCGCTATCACTTTGTCAATGTGAATCAAAACTCATCACCCTACTGTAGAGAGGAATTCAGTGTGCCCCAGGGATCGGTACTGGGACCGATTCTTTTCACACTACATATGCAGCCGTTAGGAAACATCATTAAAAAGCATGGAATTAACTTCCACTGCTATGCAGATGACACACAGCTTTATCTTTCGATCAAACCAAATCAGACAGATCAGGTGAAAAGGCTCAGTGCCTGCATAAAGGATCTTAAAATGTGGATGACTCCTAACTTTCTACTTCTTAACCCGGAGAAGACAGAAGTGATCCTACTCTGTCCAAAGCTCCTGCGTGATTCCCTCGCCGACCAGATAATCACTCTCGATAATGTCAGTATTGTGTCCAGCAACACTGTGAGGAATCTTGAAGTCGTTTTTGACAAAGAACTTCCTTTAAGGCTTATACAAACCAAGCAACAAAAACTGCATATTTCCACTTACGGAACATCGCTAAAATCAGGAATATTCTTCCTATAAGTGACGCGGAAAAACTAATCCACGCCTTTGTCACCTCAAGGCTTGACTACTGTAACGCTTTGCTGGCAGCGTGCCTTAAAACCTCTTTGAAGAGCTTCCAGCTTGTTCAAAATACAGTATCAAGGATCTTAACAGTCACCAAAAGGAGGGAGCACATAACTCTGGTGTTAAAATCACTCCACTGGCTTCCTGTGGAGTACAGAATAAAGTTTAGAATTCTTCTTTTGGCATACAAAGCCATAAATGGCTTGGCTCCCTCTTATCTTCAAGACATGTTAATGTCTTATCAACCAAGCCGAGCACTGCGCTCGCAAAACGCCAGACGTCTGGTGGTCCCTAAGGCCCCGACTCCACCGGGCGCGTAAAATGGACGACGGATCCGTCCAAACATGTCCGTTTCATCTCCGTCTCCGTTATCTCCATGAGAGTGAATGGAAGTGGCTCCACTGCCTCCGCATGCGTCCGTCCAACGCACGTCGGACCTATTCCGTCAACGGAGGGTGCAAAAGACGTGGACGGACGAAATAGAAACAATCCTATTTGTTCCGTCCGTCGACGCGTGTCGGGTCCGTTTTCCATTGAAAATGCAATGGAATAATATATTTACAACATTGTTAAACATGTATTGATATATGCTGTAGTCCTTGGTTATAAGTATTTGTTAATGACAATGATTATTAACAAACGTGTGTAATGTTTTTCATGTATTAATTTAAATAATTGTTTCCTGATCGTAAATCTACCATTTATTTTTCGCGTAATGTTAATCTTTACATACACCTCGCTCTTTTTTCTCTCGCTCTGTCCCGTCTACCTCCGAGGCGCTCTCTCCTCACCGCCGCGCGCTCCCACACAGACACAGACACAGACACAGACACAGACACACACACACACCTGCACTTATGAGAGACAGATCTCACAACACTGGATATGTCGGAGTTCTTTTCTCTCTCCTATTTTCCAATTGCTTTCAATAAGTTTTGCTTCATCCATCGCGACGTCCTCAATGCTTCAATATGCTGTGCTTTGCACTGCCCTGCCCAGCCTGGGAGTGCTTCAGTCCTGCACCGGACCTATCCACGTTCAGCGGCCGCTGGTCCACGTTCTGTAGCTTAGGTCCTGGATCTATAGCCCGTCCGTCCTTGTGGAGCGGATCCCTTTCTCAATATGTCGGTCTCCCCGAGGTTTCTCACTTTTTTCCCACTGGGTTTTTGTGAGTTTTTCCTTGCCGATGCAGGAGGGTCTGTTGGACAGTTAGTGTTCAACAAAAAGGATGTGGTGATGATCCAGGACACTTTAACATTCTACAACATGTTTGTGTAGTGGGGCTTTGGTGCGCCCTGTAGCTCTACCCCTCACCCCACCCCTTGCTCCACCCAATAGTTAGCTGCCCCTAAGAAGCACCTGGGTAAGCTGCAGGGCAGCCATTTTGTCCTGCTCTTTGAGTCTGCTACTGTGAGGTAAGGTGGTTTACACTCTGAAAAATTAAGCTTTAAGCCTACTATCACCTATCCATTCACTATAGTTAAATGTGTAATTGTATTTAGTAGTGATAGGTAAATGAAACCTCACGTATCGTTTCGGCACATCCAACGAACTGTATTGATACTGTGCCGCAACAGTGTTGCTTGTGCTGCTCTATACTGACGCCTGGTGGATCTGATAAATCATTGCATCCAACTCACTGATTCAATGAACATTACATACTTGTCTGTACACAATATTACGTAACTGCATTGTCTGTGTTAACATTTTATTTTTTATGTGAAAATTAAAGTGATAGTTGTGAATGTATTCATTAAGCAAAATGTCATTGAGTGATTTTATATATTTCTATTTATTTTTTATTTTTTATTTTTCAAAACAATAAGCATGTCCAAAGTGCACTGTAAACCCTGGCAACTAAAGTATACTTGAAAAAACCTTGGAAATAAATTGGACATTTTCTACACTTGACTGTGATGTCAACATAAACTTTTGAGGAATGACTGGGATTCGTA